GTCATGGTGGTGTCAACAACATTCCGACGATCGACTCAACCAAGAACGGAACGGCAGCCATCGGTGAAGTGCCACCCGAAGAGCCGGCACATCATATGGAGGTGGAGGAGGAAAAGGAGCCGAAAGAACCAACGTTGGCAGAGCGAGTCTCAACGCTACGTGAGAACAGCATCGGTTTTGATGTGATCTTCCATGTTGGACCATCGAATAATCCTAAGGTTTTGATATCTTTTGATATTTTTCAAGTTTGCTTTTATTTAGTTGTTTTTTGTTGCATCATTGTGATTATTTGACAAAGAGAATTATTATTGTATGGTAGTTATATTTTTAATTTAGATTGTACAAGCACATCGTGCCATATTGGCTGCAGGCTCAAAGGTGCTCTCGAACACGTTCTTCAACTCGGATGTGTCTACTCCACCGAGCAAGAAACCGAAACCCGGTTAGTTCATTTCAATTCCATTCATTTTTTATTCATGCACTGAAAATGATTGCTGTATTATACTCTTATATTAGTGTTTGCATAGGATCGTGACTTTTAAGCATGACACCGGTATGAGAACTTGACTAAATGACGGCACTCTATGTAATTTTATTAACATATCATGAATGACACACCAGTCAATGATTGTGTTTCTATTTAGTCTCTTTGTAATGTCGAGTGATTAAGTAGAGATTTTTTCGCGGAAAATGATAAGCGCTCAATTTATATTTTCGAAGAAACGCACAATCTATTCGGCCAGAAAGGAAGGTAATCTTTGCAAGAGGTAGTATTTCTTGCAGGAAGCGCCAACAATTCTGGTAAGTTAGTGCTGGAATATCCGGACGTGAATCCGGTGGCATTCGATACGGTCATTGACTATCTCTACTCGGATTTCGAACCGAAAGCGATCAACATCAACGAATCGGCTGTGCTCGACACACTTTATGCAGGCTAGTAGTGATTGTGAGACGCTTTCACATTTTTTCTATCTGAACAACTGTCTTCTCACATGCGTCATATCCGTTTGAATGATCACGT